TTTTTTGCCACAAAGTTCTTTGCATTCGATATCTGCAACATTGCCCACTTGCCAATGTGCCTTGGTGAATCCACATCTCAGTCCACACGATAACACTCAGAATTTGCAGCATACACGTTTAGAGAGCGGCGCAGATGCATGCAGCGAAAAGAAAGAAGACGTTATAGCCGATTCAACATGTATGACGAGAAATGTATGCAAAATGGACGGGAAATCTCTAGAAAATGTCTGCTCCAGATGTCGCGATGCGAAATATTGCAAGGAAACTACAATTGGTGTTGAAAACATGGGTACTACGAAAGATAGAGATAGTACAGTGTCGTCCGATTATAAGAGCTTATCTTTGCAAGATAGTTCAAACTTTGACAGACAAACAATGCTGAAGCCTCAAGATTCACTACTCTTGTATCAAAAGCCATTGCGTCGTTCGCCGCAACATACGAGAATGTCAGTGGAAGTCCATGAGAAAGTAGCATTGGATTTGCCCCAATCCAAGGAAGATAGTAAGTCCTTCCAAGCAAATGCCCAAGATATGATTATAGCTTACCGAAAGCCGTACGAATAATTAAAAATCTGATCAAGAAGTATGCTTTAGGTGCGAAATTATCATCCAACAAAGCATCGACGTCCACCAATTCACTCGATCCCGACTACAATGTGTCAGTGCCAATTTTCGAACTACTATTGCCGAACGAAACCTACTACTATACTAACCAACTAGCACTCAAGCATAAAGACTCAGTATTGTTTTATGCTGATCTAAGGCAGAAACGGCGTAAATCATGCGCGGTCAAAACTTTGGAGATTCGGCGGGGGAAACTTTTAAGTTTTGTTAGGTTCCTCGATGAAGGTGTGCAAACAAGTGAATATTTATACAAATATATTTATCGTCGTCTAAAGTACAAAACCGCGTATCAAGATAAAGCAAAATCTCGTTACTGAGGTTGCCAAAATTTTGCAAGGGAGAATAAAGCTTGCCTTATTTCAAAACGGTTCTCTCTTTTATCCCTAATTATCTCTACCTTTTATATTTAAATATCGATATTGATATTTTGGTATGAACGGCTAAGATGTCAGTTGCGATGTTTTGCAGAATCTAGACACGCGGTTTTGTGGGTTAAACGATGTTGTGAATCCTTAATGACACCATTCCAAACTAGCACGCCTTGTGTGTACACCATCTGATGAGGATATTGTTTTTGGCAACGCTGGACGTGCGCACCACAAATCGCTATGTTGGGAAGAATCACGTATTGCTTGGTTGGCTGAGCTAGAACGTCGCCAGGAAGTTCGTAGACGCCGTAAGAGGCGATCAGAGAATCATAAGCCAAAAGGATATGCATCTGAAAGCGTCTGGGGCGAAGGATCGATTTTGTGCGATAGAATACGTTTGTGGTTAGCTAAATGGTATACCTAATGTTCGTGAACCCGAATGAAGTTTGTAACTTGAATGTGAATATCTAATTAATATAGTATACTTGTGTTTCGTACGATAGACAGCTGTGTTTATTTCGTTACTTTTTTACCAGGATTTTTTCAAAAACTATCGAGCTTAGCCAAACAGTCGTCGAACTAATTTTTAGTCACAGATAAACGGATATTTTACCTTATACATGCAGTGAGCGAGACTGCGTGAAAAGATAGGATAGGTTAAGATAGTTAAAGCTTATTGCCTAGAGCAGGCGCATATTGAGACATTTGGGTACGAACGGTAACTGCTTAGTTAAAGTGAAAAATGCTGTGTGCCGCGAACAAAATTTCGCAGGCGGCAGATCTCAGTGACAGAGAGCTCCTTAGGATAAGCTAAAAAGTGCGATCCGCGATGTTTAGACCGTGGACTCGCAAAAGTTTGCGAGTTTAAGAGAAAGAATTGAGATGACTCCATCTTATTGTACTCTATGCAGCGCAGCTGCGACAGCAAGGCTGGAAGGTTCCGCGGCGGGGACTGTCATGCCAATAAACTAACAGACTCGAGAGCTGCTGTTTTATGAGCTTAAGAAGATCCGTTGACCGCCCGCGTCCACCTTAACCAGTTCAATACGGCGAAACAATGCCCATCTGTTCAAGAGCAATCCACAAGTAGCCACGGTTTTCGTTGAGATCGACACAATGGTACCCATATCTATGCCCTCGTACTACTTCGCCTCAACTGGTCGCTAGCCGTCATATCTATTCTATCTTAAAGACCGTGCGAAATACTATCCTAACTTCATGAACTATCCTAACTTTGTAGTAACTCAGCGCTGTCCCAACTGCGCCACGCCTGTTTGCCGCTATTTCTCAGCGAATCGCTTTATCATACCAATGCATTTAGTTAAGTTAAGTTATAATTTAAAGCTACATATTTCAATTTAGAAATATTCATATCCTTATTTTTTTTTTGTTCAGGCAAATGGAATAAGCTATCTTTAGCAATGCTATGCGGAACTAACTTTTTTCTCTTGCCGAAAGATTGTTTGTAAACATCTTTAGAATGCACGTGGAAATTACTTATTAACCCCACAAGCAGTTTTCGTAACACAAATACAAGAGTTTCACGATAAGTTTCTTCTATAAATTTTTTGCTTAGTTGAACTTACCTTTGGGTGATTTTTCCACATCAGTCTTTCCCAGATAGAATGGGCCTTGTCTTGTACTAATTTCATGCACAATTATGCCAAACGAATAGACATCACCCTTCTGTGTGCCCTCTGGCGGACGATTGTTTTCCATTTTCAACAACTCAGGCGCTGTCCAAAGCAATTCTGCGAGTGGGAAGATAAAATAAAGAAATCAACAAGGTAATGGCGGTGAATAAAAATGTAAACAATTACAGGTGCAATAACAAGGCCAACCAAAAAAGTAGCAATATTGAATAAACAATAGGGGAGCTCACGATTTGTAGCATTTTATTTGTAAGGCATCTACTCATCGTAAACTCCATTACTTTTAATTTGCTCTCAATTTAAGTATTTAAACCACTTCCGATTGAGTTTTTACGTTGCTGCAATTGAATATACGTATGTATGTGGTTCTCTTTCGAATACTTACTGCTCCAATACGCATGGCTGTTGCAGTCTTCAACATCGTTCTCCAACGCTTCAGGGCGTATGCGCTTTAGCGTGTGCAAACCAAAATCTGTTATTTTCAATACAAATCGAGAGTCCACCACACAATTTGAGGACTTCAGATTGCCATGTGATCGTATAACTGAGTTGTGTAGAAAATGCATGCCACGCACAATATCGTGCATTAGCGACAACTTAATCATCCAGTCCAGCTGGAATTGCTCATTCTCTAATATATCCTGCAGCGAACCTTTTGGACAATATTCGGTGAGTAGAAAGCGCTTCGGGGGATCCAAGCATGCGCCGTAAAACTTTACCAAGTGATCGTGTTGCAGATCCTTCATACTTTTCAGCTCCAACATTAGCGAACGCGTCAAGTTAATTTGTCGATTTTCGATGGCCTTAATGGCCACTTCACAACCACGATACATACCAACTGGTATGAAAATTTGACGATCCCCACACAACGAGCGGAGATCTTCAGACATCAGCGTCAATTGTGAGGATTGACGCACGAGCGAATGAAAGGAACCCCGTATGCCACGTCCTGCCAAGTCAGGACATACTAGATCGCTAATGGATACCTTCCAAGTCATGGAATTTATCTCAGCCTCTGACTTGTAGTGTCGATAGCCGAAGAAGAAGCCGACGGTCATAAGCACGACTACAACACCGAGTATGATTGAGAGTATTGCATAACCAGGGAGTGCTGCAAGTAAAAATAGACTTTTAATAAGTTGAAAAAGATAGTCGCATGTGTGCTTTACACTTACAATTATCTGGACATAATGAACCATCATAACCGCAAATTGGCGTGCTAGGTGGTGGCTCTTTGCGACCACCCGCCCAATGGATTTCCTTGCCCGGCACAAAATCCAAACGATTGTGCATAAAGTCTGCAACGATTTCGAATCGTCCCGTATCCGGATTCATATCCAATAGTGAGTATGCCGAGATGCGATCCCCATTGGAATCGATAGTCACATTACCGGTTATACCTTTGAAACTGCGACCCCACATGCGTCGCACCATATCTGTGCCATTAATGGGACGCGTTAGCACTGTTGGATCTTCGCGAATACTGTCATTGAGTGCTTGCGCGTAGAGTAGTACGCCGTCAAAGAAGGATGTTACAAAAGCAGAGACATCCTCATTTTCTTGGAATGTGTAATTATACTTTTCGGCGGCGATGGTTTTGATCTAAATACATTTGTTAAGGAGAACAAGTTTTAAGATGCAATCAAAGCCTTCATATAAATTTTGTCCGAAAATTCAAGATTTTGGATAACGTTAGATGCAGAAATATTTAGCTTAGTACTCGCCTTGTTTGAAACTTTAGTATAATCCTCATCATTTGGCTGCTTTGGTGTTAAAGTTAGTATAGCTGTATACGCCTTACGAGCACGCTCGTTATTTTCTTCTGTATCATTTTTATCATACCAAGGCTTCCATGTTAGGTGTGAGGCGCTGAAAATATATAAAATATGGGGTATAAGAAGTTGCTTTAGGCATACGAAAAATTATTATGAAAAGTTATAAGAGTCCTGGGACTACTTTTACGGCAAGATGGAGAAGATGAACGGATAAGGCCAGCTTCAGATATACTATGATATTTAGCATCAGTCAATATAAAACGTGAAAGGGTGGAGTGAAATGAGGATAAGCTAAGCAAACAATCACATAAACACACACTACATACAAGGGACATGCTCTCCGGCTACTCGTAGCTAATACAGCATTTCTACCAAGCCTTAAAGCGCAGTTAGTCAACGACGTAGCGTAAACGTAGGTTGACGTACGTAGCAGCGTATCAAATTTACTGTTGATAGAGAGAGAGAGAAGCAACGGCAACGTCACCGCCATGCGGTGGTGAGTTTTCGTTAACACGCGAATCCCATAAAGTAGATCGTGTCTGCGTCAACCTACGTCTACGTTACGTCGTTGACTGTTTGAGCTTTTAACTGCAGTTTATGCTCATTGGATAAACGAGATTATCACTCGAACGGGGTAATTGCTCATATTAAGTATAAGCAAACAAAAGAACGAAAGCAAAAAGTAAGAAATAAACATTGCCAATCACCCTATGTTAAAATACTTAGTACTTATCATAGCTCTTAACTACTATAAAGCTTTTGGTGAAAATATGCTATAAGAACTGCTAAAACAATTTTATGAAAAAGCGTACGGACGACGTAAGCAAGGTAGTGACTAGGTATTTCTAGAATAACTTTTCACAGATGCAAGCCTGGGGCTAAATGTAGGTAAAATGGACATGTTTTCACAAATAAGTACAAGGGTCCGGCATGGAATTCCCCGAAGCTTGATGAAACCGAACCGACTACCACTTTCACAAAAAGCTTTCGGACATTGCCGAAAAACGTTTGTTAAACGGGTTACCTGACGCTGTGTCTCAATTAGAAGAAGAGGTTGCAGACCATAACCGAACAAAAAATTTTCAAGTTTCGCGGATATACATACGACCTGCAAGGAGCTATTTAAACATCCCGAGATTTGGGCTTCGGGATAAACCGCGGGCATTAAAATAGTCTACATTACGCTGCTAAATTAAATCTCGCATATCATATGTCGACCAAAAATGTTCTATGTAAGAAGTGGATAGGTTAGTCACGAATAGGCGGCTGTATATCTTTTAGCTTCTAGGAAAAAGTGGATGAGATTGCCAAAAGTAATGTTTCTTTGTAAATCAAACATACAGGCTGCGTTTCTTTATACATTCCGGATAATCCCATTTCACAGCCGGAATAAACAGAATACGTTTGAAATATACGTTAACATATCATCAGGAACGTTCTAAAGAATAAGTAAACAAAAAAGTTTATTCCAAACGTTCAGAATGAATAAAGAAATTCAGCCACAGTTTAACAGGCTAACCTAATATTCACGCACGCCGCCAATTTACTGTCATGCACATGCAACTTGTATGAGATCAACCGAAATTGAACTGCGTGCGTATGAAGCTAACTCAATTTCCAATTTTTGTTCTGCGCGACATTTTGATTTGACGTTTCGCTCAATGAAATCAAATGCAAACGCATGCAAGTCAATTTCGGGTGACGCAAAAAAACAAATTCGACGGCATGCGTACCAAAACGCAAGCCGCGAATATTAGGTTAGCCTGTAAACTACAATCTCTAAAAAATCCTAGAAATGAGCTCGTAATGAATTTATATGAATACATAAGTTTCAATAATATGCCAAATTTATCAGATTTTCAGCCGTATTTCAACAAAGTCACAAACCTTAGCTCATCACTGCTGGGATTTATGCTGCGCCTCAAACTGCTACTGCAACAAATATGCCGCTACATCACAAATTTTTAAGTTTTTGTGTATTTTTCGTAGCACTTAAAATCGAATTTTTGTGGCACTTTAGAAATCACAACAGTGATGAGCGAAGTTTTGTGACTGTTGGCATAGAGGGTTAAAATCAAATTGTTTTCGAAGTTTTGCGATTAAAAAAAAATTTAATTTTCTCAAGCATTATTCTACCTGAAACTCGAATTTAATATAATCTTGGATTTTAATCTACATAAACAAAATTTTGACTGGCTTCAGCAAAATACGAGAATGTACATATTTTTTGGGTTTGATTGGGTATTTGATTGCTCTACAGTAGGGGTATTCTCCAAATCTTGCAAAGCCATTGCACGTAGCACGGATTGTATGGAATGCATAACTTGCAAACACACAGCAACAAAATACATGGGAAAAAACATTTCCTTTCTCTGCAAATAATGCAACGTCGAAACCCATGTGTATATATTTTGCAAAATAGCATAGCAAGATAAATGCGACCCTGTGCTAATTTGTTGGAATTGCTACATATTTCTCTCATTCCTCTCATCTCGCTCACTTCATTGTATATTTTCTGTGTCTTGTTATTGTATTTGATGCATAATTTCGCAATGGGGTGCTCTCGTACTCTTCGAAATTTGGAATAGTATTTTTGCGTTTCGTGCAATTCGTGCATCGTGCAAGACTTCGAGAATACCCCTAGTGTAATTCTAAAACTCTATGGGTAACAATTTTTTTTGTTTTGTTAAGTTCCAACATGATGCTTTCTACATACATACTAAAGGTCTGCATCGGAATTCAGTTTGCTTCACTGTGAAGTTTTTTTCAAATATGTAAACTACTCATACTTTAACAAAGAGGGCATGGAAGGAAGAGAAGTGAAAATTTTGAGCACTGTATACATGAAAAAAGTACTCAAACAAAATATGTTCCGAAAAAAAGAAAAACATAAACAAGCAGTACTATGGTGCTAAACTTCCACAAAAAATATGTTCCTTCACAAGTATTTTTTGAGTATTTTTGGAAGTTTTCGTTTAATAAATACTATATAATGTTAACAGACATGGAAAAACAATGTAGGGAATTATCAAGGCTAATACCCAGCTAGCCCAATGCCGAGCGAGAGACAAAAGGGACTCCCACAGCAACACCTCGAAGGAGCGTTTTAAAATATGAGATGAATAAGCATTCCATATGGGTTATCTGCGGATGACCTGTTAAAGAAGAAACGTAATTTTTTACCAAACTGCTTCACCTTCCAAGGATGGTCATAGGCCAATAACAAATTCGATATATCAAGGGCGCGTGCGTGTTTGCGGTAGAGCTTTGGAATTTGGTTGAGTGATATATGAAAACAAACCCAAACCTCGAACCTGACACTATGGAGGTTAACGGACCTCTGATTCGGGTTCTAAAACCCCACATATATGAATTTTCAGGTTTATTCAATGCATTTTTCCCTGCTTGACGTTCAACTGACCACGAACCTGACGTGATAGAGGCTAACGGACCTCGGATTCGCATTCAGCCTGTTGAATAACATAGGGTTTGGTTTAATATGCATACACTTTTTTTGTAAACCTGTGTAATTTTTATCAATATTCGTTTATAATTAAAACATTTTTCTTTTATATTTTACTCACTTCTTTAAGATAATTTTTCTGCGGATCATACGAACGAGAGTTGAAATAATACACAATGCAAAATGTTAGCTAAACCCTAGTTGCGCGAAACAATAAAATAAGCCCCCTTTCTTCAACGAATCAAATTCGACAATGAAAATAAAATTTATGAATTTTCTTAACATTATGTTAAATGATAACATTTTGAAAGAAAAAACTTCATAAGTATTCGTATACTTCCTATGAAGTTTTCAAATACTGCTGAATTCAATCAACATACTCAAGTGTTTTGGAAAAGCGGAACAGTGTTTTATGTAGCAGAGCACTGTTGAGTAACATTGCTCAGTTATTCAAATTTATGATGTTCTCTTTTTTATACCCGAGCGCACTTGTGCACAAGGGTATTATAACTTTGTTCACATAACGGTTGTTTGTAACAGGCAAAACGAATCGAGATAGATATAGACAAATGTATACATAAATGATCAGAATGAAAAAAGAAATCGATTAAGCGGTGACTGTCTGTCCGTCCGTCCGTCCGTCCGTCCGTCCGTCCGTCTGTCCGTCTGTGCACACGATAACTCGAGTAAAAATTGAGATATCTTAACGAAACTTGGTACGTGCACTTCTTTCAGGCGTAGGACGGATGGTATTGAAAATGGGCAAAATAGGACAATAACCACGCCTACCTCCCATATAACGGTAATTTTCAGAAATACGAAAACTGCGATATTTTAGTAACTACTGAAGATAATTCACTCAAAATTTATATTTACAATGAGTTTTAGACGAAAAATAAGAATATTAAAAAATTTTGGCAAATGGGCGTAGCCACGCCTACTTATGGTTACATGTGTATATCTTGGTAACCGCTACACCAATTTCTTCCAAACTTGGCACAGTTGTTGGCCCTTGTACAGCATACCAAATGGCCGAAAATTTTTAAAATCGGACAATAACCACGCCCACATCCCATATAACGGTAATTTCGAGAAATACGAAATCCTCGATAAATCAGTAAATATTAAAGCTAATTTATTCAAAATCGATGCTTGCAGCAATTCTTTACCAAGAAATACGTTTATGATAAAATTTTGGAAAATGGGCGTGGCACCGCCCACTTATGATCACATATATTTATCTCGGTAACCGTTCTACCAATTTGTAACTCGGTACGGTTATTGTGCTTGCCACAAAACATTGAAAATTATTGAAATCGGACTAAAATTACGCCTACTTTTCATGTAACGGTAAATTACAGAAA